TTACCTTGATTGGCAGAGATTACTTGTGCGACAATCCTATTACACTATTGAGCGAATAACAAAAATATTAGTAATTAAATTCGTACATGGTTATGCCAGTTGAGTGTATCCACCTTGAGAAATTTGGCAGCGCCATCATTCGCCAAAAGGGCAGTAAATATATTGTTATGGTTGAGTAAAGGATGTCTGGGTTTATTTGCAGGGTGATGGGTAGATTGGGCAATCCGAAGTAAAAATGGAGTGATTAGACAACACCAGACGACGTCGTCTTCCTCTTTCAGATCACCGGCACATACCACAGCCCGGCTCATACCATGTTGTGTGTGTGTGTGTGTGTGCGTGTGTGTGTGTGCGCGTGTGTGTGTGTGCGTGCGTGCGTGCGTGCGTGCGTGCTGGTGTTTCCACATTTCCGCATTTTACTGAGCTTCAGCTTGTATTATCGACGAGCACATGCACATCTTAATTATATGTCGAGCCGTCTGATGACCTAGGGTTTTTATGAGAAATGATGCCCCTACCCCCGATTTCTTGAGTAATACCCCTCCCTCTCATCGTCGAGAACGCTTATTCCACGCTTTCACATCAACAATCTCTTTTGTGCCACGTGCGCAGTGCAGAAGATGCAATGGCAGGGTCACTGCGCCCCTACTGCCTACGGGTAGCGAAACATACTCAGTAACTCTCTCATTGTATTCACGATGGTTCAGAAGGCCGTAAGTAAACAAGCACGCGCAGGTGCAGTCAGCGTGGCCGGGGAAGCAGGAAAATAATGAAGTTGTGCACCGATGGGGGCGAAGCGTTGGTTGGGCCAACGCCACCTAGACCAACGTTTCTGTACTAGAAATGTTGACCTAGACTACTGAAGGCCCCCGCACTCCTCCGTGACGTCACCACACTCGGCCCGTACGCAGCGCTTCTTGACTGCGGTCGCTTTACCTATAAACGCAGCTTTTTCTTTAACTCGCGTTAAAGAAGTCAATGCGATGATCAAGATGCTAATGCAAGGCTGGGTGATATTTCGGGGCATTCCACCGAAGAGGTGTCTTTTGTCTCGACCGCATATGTACATTCGCACATATAGCTGCAGTGTGTCCTCGTATTTTTCGCTGCCTTTTTTTTGTTATCTGTTATCGGGACACGACAGCTGGTGCTTGTCACCGAATGCTATGCAAGACACGCTTTTATCCTAATGAACAAACCTGAAAGCTTTACTTTTGTTGTTTGTGGTTGGGTTTACAGGTTGGAATATCTTATGAGTTGTAATATCTCGTCGCCTTAATCATTGGAATTTACCGAACATAATTCTTACAGCAATTCTGTTATCACTGTTCTTTAAATCTGTGCACTATCCACATTTCCAAGCAGTTCGGAGAGTGATACGAAACGTACAATAGTTTCAGAACAAAAAATAAATTTTATTTCGGGAGTGAATACACATGCACATACACACACACACAAACACATACACACAGAAATGCAAACACATGATCAATTCAAAATAACTAACTTTCTTTTGGTTCCATTCGCTTTCTTTTTGCTCAGCGCTTCATTTCTCAGAAAGCGTAATTTTTGAGGAGGATGTTTATGGCTGGAAGCAAAACATTTTTCGTTACTGAATCTGGAGTGTGGCCAGCTGCACAAGCATCAAATTCTTCGTTGTCATTCAATAAATACGTAAGAACACTAAGTAGAGTCAATCGATGATTACTTTCAGCATGAAACAGAAGCTCATGTTCTTTACTAGTGACACCGTCGATAACAACCTTCGCGCAGAGGACTGCATGAATTGCAGCTGGCTGTGGGAACTTCAATCCACCTCGACTGATGCTGTCAATCAGCACATATTCAATTTCTTCCAGCTCTCGTTGCGTGACTGTCAGTATGTCATGGCAGTCATCACATGGTTGTTGTTTGAGAGCTCGTGTGCATAGTAGCCGGCGATGTGGACCAACGCAGCCATGTCCTGTCATGGCTTGTTTAAATCAGCATTGGTCAAGCGTATGTCGTACTTCCTGATTGTCTCCTGAGCATTAGGCTCATTTTCATTCTGACTGGGTGATTCAGGCATGTCTGCCAAAATCAGTGTGTTTTGTAGGCGGAACTTAGCCTCAGCCTCTAACACTTGTGTTATCGACACGTTATAGTGCGAACCACATAGTCGCCTGTACCTCCCAAACCGATACTCAAGCGAGTCAGTTTGGAATTTACTGAGGAGCATGTATCTAAAATTAAGCTCCTCCAAGCAGTACCTCGACACCTCAATCAGGGCATACGTAGTTAGCCGTAAAGCTGTGTGGGCCTCTTTTGTGAGAGCACCTGTTTGCACGTTTCTGTCTTTCCAGGAATCAAGCCAGCCAACAAACTTGTCCAGATATTGCAGCTGCTCGCAGCTGATATTGCGCACTGGCTCTTGCTACACATATTTTAGCCTGCAGCCTTTATGAGGAGTCTTCACATTCACAATGTTCCACCACTTTACAATTAAATCAATGAAATTTGCTGTACCACTAGCAAGGACCAAATGCAAACTTTCATCTTGAATTCTCAAATCCGACGACACGAAGGTGTTAAATATTTTGAGAGCGAGCTTAACATTTTGTCGCTCTAGGTTACTTGGGTTCAGAGCCTTGTAAATTAGCCCATAAGCAATTTTTACAGCACTGTTTTCTTCAGCTTCGTGCAGTTTTCTTAATGTTGTAAACGATGCACCTTCCAGCCTTTTGTTCTGCTCAATATAACAATCAAAATGTGGATAACACAGGCACTTGTCAAAATTTTTCTGGTTATTCTAATTATTTCGAACGCATTTTAGCAAATGCACTGTGTCAACAATGTGAATTAAAGGTTTCTGAGGATCTGCTGAATGAGGATACACTGTTTCTAAATGGTTGCTTTCTGCGAACAGTGACATTACCTTTCTGTTAATTGAGTTATTGTCTGTTATTACTGCCACTGCGTGAAGGCCACAATCTTCAAGAATGATTATTACTTCTCTTAGCACCTTATGTAGTTCTTCAGCTGTAATTTTAAACACTGGTAATATGTACATGTTTAAATGCTGACGGTAAACTCTGAACCATAAAAACGTGCGCTGTTTTCGCTGGTTCAGTGCTGTTAACAACAGCTCCTGTTAATTTGCCTCTTTTGTAGTCAAAGAATTGTTGCAAGTGTATTTCCTCAAGCATCAACGTGACATGTCTTTCGTGCAACTTCAGTAGGCTGGCCCTTCTTTTCATGTACCGTAAGAGCCTTTCTTGATTTTGTTCCTTCAAAGGAATCACATCATGGGCGGCACATACACGTTTAATTGTCCAAGAGTGAGGCAATACGATTCGCAAAAAGTTGTAATCATGGGTAGAAATAGCGTAAAACACAGTTGAAAGAATTAACAGTTCAGCTGAATACCTTTTGCTTTGTCACATCAGGAGCTGGCACTGTTTCCTTAGAAACATAATTGCTTCTACTCTTTCATCCTTCAGCAGGTCTTCCTTGGAAATATCCTCGAGGAGGGAAACCACAAGCTTTAACACTTCATTCACTTTTTCATCTTTTCCAAGTTCTCTTCTACGACAGTACCCTTGTACGCCGTCCAGAAGTTGCACCGGCACACGCATGTCGTGAACTGCTTCTGGAATGCCAAGCCGTTCGTCTAACGATGACGATAGTTATAGCGCGAGAACAAAACGACGACACAGAGACAAGAAGGACACGAAAGACACGTGTCATCGTTTTGTTCTCGCGCTATAACTATCGTCATGCTATACCAACTAGCCCAAGCTGCCACACTTCTAAGTTTCGTCTAACGTAAGGGCGAGCACTTCCCACAAAGACGCACACAGACATATCCGATGATATGACTATAGAAGAAATAAGATTTGGAGCTTCTTCTATTGTTGCCTCGATGTGCGCAAAGATAACATGGCCATCGGCGTTCACAACTGACCAATACCTTTTTTCTTGTAGCCGGTGCAGGCGAGAATTTGTCATCTAGGCATGTTAACTTGTTTTCTTCCAACTCCTTCTTGTGCGCCAGCATGGACTCCTCAATAGCTTTTTGAAGTTGCTCATCTTCTTTTCCTTTTTTCTTCATTCCTGGTTCTTCTCTCGATTGGTAAGCATCCGACAGGTAGCCAGGGCTGTCCGGAAAAATTTCAGGTACAGCATCGTGCGTGAGTCGCGTCAATTTCATCTTGACTTCAATGGTGCGACCATCGTAATCTGTATATTTTGTCATTGTGTGGAGATATTCCTCTTTGACGTGACATTCGCATACCTGCACAAAAGGACATAAATTAAAATCAGTTTGTTTTCACGTGAATTGTGCCTCTGTGCACATGTAACAAAACTAGGACAGTTCAGGCGTCGCTATTAAAAAACCCGGCGTCTTATTCCATACCTGGAAGGGTGCAGCAACACAATCCGTTGTAAACGAAATTGCGCTGATGCGTGCAACCAAACAAAATAATGCCGCTCTCTCCGGTCTGATATAGGCTTTTCTCACGTTAACACTGCGATTTCTAGTGAGCGAAAAAAGATGATGATGATGATGATGATGATGATGTCTGCGGTCTTCTCCTTTATACCGGGGGGGGGGGGGGCACCTTTTAGTGTCCTGACCGGAACGAGAAAAAAAAGGAAAGAAAAATCACACCAGGTCCATGAACATCACAATTGTTCACTGTCTCCTTGACCACCACTGTAGAAGCCTTGCTTTGGTTATTGCTGTCGCTGCCAGGGGGTGCACGTTGGTATCGCGGCTGTCGCCTCCCGGTGCGCCGCAGTCTTTCACAAAGCCGAGTGCCTCCGGTAGTGTGGCGCCATCTGTCTGACGGGGACACAGGCATTCGCAGTGAAGCACCAGGTGTTCAATGTTCTCCTCGTCTTTCCCGCATGTCCTGCACTGCACAGTGCCGTCGGCCAACGACGGGTCGAAGTGACGGCGATACACCCGAGTACGGAGCGCTCCAGCACGGGCCTCAAACAGAAGCGCACTGCCGACATTACATGTCGTATAATCGTTCGGCGGAGATGGTGGTCTTGTGAGCTCTGTATAGGGCCAGGCTGGGTTTCTTCTCCATAGCCGCCTGCCACATCGACGTCTCAGCTTCCTGCACTCTATTCCGTACTCCTACTGCCCATTTCCTCTCACTGTCCTCCTGGACAGGGTCAGTAAAAAGGGAGTACTTGCGGCACAGATTGTGGAGACGCCTGCGCCATGGTGTGTTCATGCCCTTGATAGCTGTGTATCTAAATACACGACGGGCCCACCGCTGGTCGTTCATGAGGCGAAGACGTCCTTCGTAGGCCGCCTTGCTCCTTGCCTCGCGTGCCTCGTAACTTGACCATCCGAGGTCGCCCTGTATAGCTTCGACAGCCACACGTCCATGACACGCCAGCGCCAGTTGCCCGACCTCACGTTGACCTCTTTCCAACCACCGGCGTGTAGCTGCAGACAGGCAGATGACGGCGTTGGCGAATGTCAGCACTAGCACATGTACTGCCTTCCACAGTTCGCGCACCAGTACAAACCGGTTGCACCCCCACAGACTCCGCCGTCGCAGCACGTTGGCGGCCCTCACAGAAGTCTGTCGAACGTGCTCCTCTTGCTTGTCATAGATATCTGCGGAGGTGCAAAGGTTGACACCGAGATACCGGTACTGGTTTGATACCGGAATGCTTCCTCTGTCGGGAAGCTGCACATCAATGGTCTCCACGCCTGAAAACTGCAATATGGCCGATTTTTTTGGCATTGAAGTGAAGGCCCACACTCTTCAGGTGGTCAGCCGCCAGTGTTACCAACCTCTGAAGGTCACTGCTGCGCTCAGCCAGTAATACTAAATCATCCGCGAACACCAAGCCGGGCAGCGTCCATGTCTGCGCCACCCCACCAATCATGAGGCGGAACGCGAAGCCAACTCCCGATTTCACGAGTGCCTGCTCGAGTCCCGCCACATATAGCATGTATAGCAGCGGAGACAAAGGGCAGCCCTGCCTGAGTCCTCTTGTCACTCTCACAGGCTGTGTTCTGGTGCCTCTGAAGCATGCTACCACCGAGCTATCTGCATAGAGCCGCCGGAGAAAGTCTGTCCACACGCTCGGCATTTGTCGTTGGTCTAACTGGTGGAAAAACTCCTCGTGTGGCACACTATCATAAGCCTTGGCGACATCCAGAAAGCATCCAAGCAGACCTCTGGTTTCTCTCCGTGCCACCTCGATGGTCTGGGTGAGCACGAAAAGATTGTCTTCCAAGCGTCGGTTCCGTCGGAAGCCATTCTGGAGTTCCGACAGTATGCCCCTCGTCTCCGCTCAGCCGCGAAAGTTGCAGCTAGCGCCATCTCACGTAGGTCGACCAAACGTTGCCTGAGGAGCGGCGGCTCGCTTGCTTGGGCAGAGTAGGTTGACGTCACACGGCTGGAAAGTAGGAGTGCGGGGCCTTCAGTAGTCTAGGTGGCGTTTGTTGGGCGGTAGTTGTAGCGGAACAGCAGAACGACGACAAAGGGACACGAAAGAGACGAGGGCCTTTCGCTTTTTTTTCTTCCTTTTTTATATCGCGGCGTTAGGAAGGAGACAACGCTCGGAGCGCCGACGAGTTGCTGAAGCGCTACCACGCAAAGTTGCATGCATTAAGCAGCGTTTCTTTTGCCATGTTTCTAGAGGCAGCCGCGTCCCGCCGCCGAGGATTTCATGCGTACACGTAAGTGGCAATGTTGCCTGGCGCATTGCCAGTTTTGTCTCTTGGAAAAATTCACTTTGATCTGCGCAACTGATATGTTTCTTTCTAGCTAGAAGAGTGGATCTCTTCTGGCTGACAGATAAGAGTGGTTCAGGTGAACGGCTGCTGTATCAGTTGTCGTTGGTCGTTTACGGGTAAATATACGCCTGTCGTGTTTTTTCTTCGTTTGTTTATATTGCAGGAGTAGGACAAATATTGCTATTTTTCTATTGTAAAGCACTGCAACATGGACTGCAAAAAGTGCGGATAGCGTGATGAAGTGGTCTTGCCGTGCTGAAAAAAATTTGTCGTAAAATTTTTGCTTGGTTGCTAAAGTCCTACGCGATTTTTTTCAAGTTACATTCGGTGCAAATGAGCTGTAACCGACGACTGAAAAATATCTGCCTGGCCCGCCTTGAAGGTAAAATATGTTGTCGTCAATTTATTTGTTTTACCGTTTGTTTTCCAGCGACATATAATGAGGAAACTGTGTGCTCTGGGGCTTCAAGCATGTTTCAGAATGTCAACGCATTGACATAATTATTTCAGTGCACAGTTTTTTTTCTGACTTGTGTATATATCTTCATTCTTTAGTCGATGTATACCTGCAGCGCCCGAAGGCGTTATAGCAAGGGGGCTTACAGATTCGAAAGAAACAAATTTTCATTTACAGCAGACACTTGTACACGTGTGAGCCCGTTCCACTCATGTATTGTTCTGACAAAAAAAAGAATTTGCGAAAATTCCAGTCCTGGGACGGTATTCCCTCAGTTTAAAAGGATGATCAATTCGATTTGACAAATAATACGGCGTCTGTAAATACATATCCTTATTGATTCCAGTTTTATTATTAAATATTATATATAAAAGTTTTAATCGCAATTTTCTTCTACGCGATGAAAGCAGCTCCCAATTCAATTCTTGTTTCATAGCAGTAGAGCTGTCCCGCCATTGATACCGTCCCAGGACGAACCTTGCCGCCCTGTTCTGTAATATTTCTATCTTATCACTAAGATATACCTGCGCCGGATCCCACACAGCGCAGGCGTACTCTAAGACTGGTCGTACACACGTCAAATACGCACATTCTTTAAGTCGCTGATGCGAACATCGTAAGTTACGCTGAATAAAATTTAACACCCTCGCAGCTTTCGCGACAACATAGTCAACATGTACATTCCATGAGCAGTCAGAAGAAAAGAACACACCCAGGTATTTGTAAGTTGTCTTCGTGGTAACTGGCACACCATTTATACAATATCTAAATTCGATCTTCTTTGTCTTCTTTGAAAAAGAAAGGTTAATGCACTTAATAAAATTTAAAGACATTTTCCATGTTGTACACCAGTCATGAATACGCACCAAGTAATATTGAAGTTGGGAGGAATCCTGCTCACTCTTAATCCGCGAAACTACTGTTTAGCTGAAGTGGGCGTAGAAAGCTTATAAACGCATGCGACTCTGCAACTAGTCATGTAAATAGTCTGCCTTTCTTTAAGATTATTCATTCTGTTTGCTCTTTTCAGCTCTTCTCAGCAATTAACAGAACGATACAAGCCTCACATCTCGGTGGTAAAACGTCCCACGTCCGAATACGTATTCTTTAATTATTTCAATATACTGCCGACCTTTTCGTTCCAAGCAGGAGTGGTAATACAGAAAATTATTATATGCTGTCGAAAGTGACGATCTCATTAAAAACACAAAAATCTGTTCAATGCTGGATGGTTGTTAACAGTTTAAAAGATAGAGATTTTATATCGCACGAGAGCATAATACAAAAATGTAATACACTAATCAGAACAAAATATATTGCTTATTCACGGAAAGAGCACGAAAATTGACCGAAACAAAGATCTGATGTTGCAGAAATACAACTCCATCGACAGTATAGTTGGGTACCACAAGGCCTGCTGCAAATCGTTCCATGCGAACAATGTTGGATGAAAACATGGTGCATTTATACAACTGTGAAATAGCCACATAAATTGGGGAAGCTTACGTTCGTCTTTCTTTTATTGCATGCCACATACTTTGACGCTAACAAGTGCAGACTTTAGAGGCATTTGAGTTTGTCTTACATGCGCACTGAGGCAATGCCGTATGCGCAAAATGCGAAAAAAGCAGAGCAAGGAACGTTGGCAACCGACCTGCAGCTGTCGGTAAATCGACGCTTATGTAATGTTGGGCCATGGTCAACCCACGCGCGGCACGCACTCGGGCTCCTCGGCCAACGCGGTCGGGCCTACGTTGTGTTCAGATGTTGGCTGGTGAGAGGCCATTGTCTATCGCCAAAACTGGCTCTACAATCGTTGCCAAGGTTAGGCCAGCCACTTCGCCGTCAGTCACTGACCGTTCGCCGACCTATTTCCTAGGACGAATTGTTGCTTGGTACGGAGACAGAGCGTTAAAGGATAGCTGTTCCGTACAAACACCAGATATCACGCAGGCTCAAAAAATTTACGAACGTTTGAGCGTTCGTGTGCTGTTCTCTGCACCGCCCAAATCTACAAACCCCCTGAAAAAGCAGTCATCAACTAAATGTAATTTTAAGCATAGGAACAGGTATGTGGCATGTTCTTGGGGAGCTGTCTATAGAACGCCCCTTTTCTGTCTTGCCTGTTATGTCGCAACGACTGGAAGGTGTCTTAATGATCAACTGAGGGAACACGCTAACAATGCTAGCAACGAGAAAGATGGTTTTCTTGCTCAGCACTGCACTGAGTGCAACTGTGTGCCCCTTTTCAAGGACACAGTGACGCTGTATAAGCACAGGGATGAGTGCACCCGAGTTATTGTTGAGGCCGCGCAGATGGCACACGAACAGGTGTCATGCATTAGCAATCTCTCCGTGTCTCTGTCTGAAAAGGAACTTAGGTTTCTCGAAGGTATCTGTGCGCGCAGCTAGTTATGATACTTTTATTTTCACTTTTACTTTTCTGTTTCGTTTCTTATAAATTTTTCTTTGCATTTCTCTTCGCTTCTGTTTTCTTCCATATGTGATTCTCAAAGGAGAAAAGAAGAAAAAAGTGAGCCCTGTAACTGTCTGCATCAGAGTGGTGGTGATGGTGGTAAAGGTAGTGGTTAGAAGAGGAAAAATGCACCTTATTTCTGCAGCCCGGTGGGAGCACGGCGCAGTGTTTAATCTGAGTGCGACACCTGAACAGTAGCTCACAAGGGATGGGGGTAATGAGGAATTAAAAAGATGGGAATAAAAGGTATATATAGAGAGAGGTAGGAGAGAGCGAGGCACAGGGACAGTGAGCGATGGAAGTAAACAGGAGATAGGGAAGATGGACATGGTCGCAGGAGTCCGAGGACTGGGCACCACTCAGCGAGAGCTTATGTCGGCGGCAGGAGATGGCGTAGGGGAAGTCCAGCCGGCCAGAACTGCGCTGTCGTCCATTTCTCATGCATTGCGCTTTGTGTAACACGGTTTTTGTCACATGGTTACTGTCAACTCTATATTTTTTCCCGCTACGCGCATTGAACTTAAATGGAGGTTGGCGCTCGTCTCTTTCTTATCCCTTTGTCATCGTTCTGTTCTCCCACGATATATACCCTCGTGCGTTGCAGCTTTATGGCATTTCGTTTTGTTTTGAATGTAGTACGAACAAACCCTTTTCGAATGATTTTCGAGGACGTGTCAGCAATTAAACATATAAAAATATTAAGTGCGATGTATTCAAGTGCATCTCACGAGATGGAATCCCGGCCACGCGGATGCATTTTTGGCGGACGCGCAACTGCTGACGGTGCGTGTGCTTAGAGTTAGGCGCACGTTAAAGCCCCCCAGGTGGTCGAATTTCCGGAGCACTCCACTACGCCGTCTCCCATAATCATATCGTGGTTTTAGGACATCAAACCCCTACTATTACTAATATGAAAGCACAAAGTGCATAAAGCCCAATGCGTGAAGTGACAGGATGGATGGATGGATGGATGGACGGATGGATGACGGACGGACGGATGGATGAACGGACGGACGGATGGACGGACGGATGGACGGACGGATGGACGGATGGACGGACGGACGGACGGATGGACGGACGGACGGACGGACGGATGGACGGATGGATGGATGGATGGATGGATGGATGGATGGATGGATGGATGGATGGATGGATGGATGGATGGGTGGATGGATGGGTGGATGGTGGGTGAGTGTGTGGGTGGGTGGGTACTGCACAAAAGGGGCACTGCACTGAGTGCAGGGCCCTGAGTGCAATTGTGTGCCCCTTTTCAAGGACACAGCGACGCTGTACAAGCACAAAGATGAGCGCACCCGAGTCGTTGTTGAGGCCGCGCAGATGGCACGCGAACAGGTGCCTTGCATTAGCAAGCCCTCCGTGGCTCTGTCCGAGAAGGAACTAAGGTTCCTCGAAGGTTTCGGTGCGCGCAAGTAGTTATATTATCTTTACTTTTCTGTTTCGTTTCGTTATAGATTTTTCTTTGCCGTTTTTCTGTGCTTTTGTTTTTGTTTTTCTCTTACTCATGTTGCTCTTTGTGCCATGGTTTTGTCACATGGTTACTGGCTCCTCTATACATTTTCGCGCTCTGCGCAATAAACTCAGTTGGAAGTTAGCAGTGTGGCAGCTTGGGCTAGTCGGTATGGAATGACGATAGTTATAGCGCGAGAACAAAACGACGACACAGAGACAAGAAGGACACGAAGGACACGAGCGCTAACTTCAATGGAATGATTGCATTTATCCGCAGAAAAAGGGTGTTTAAATTGGCTCATGCATAGCACCTCTACTCAGTGATCTTCTATTGGAAAAATGGGCACAAAACTGCAGAAAACGTTAGAAGGCTCGCATGTCGTCAAAGTGTAGAGGACGCCACCTGTTGCTTCTAGTAACTGGGAGGGGGCGCCCCCGCTCTGTATAAAAGGCATCGGTGGGCATTAAACGGGGCTTTTTGCTGTTTGTGAACTACGCGTTGTCGGGTCATTCTTCGCGGGCTTCACGCCCACTTTTGGCTCGGCTAGCGGCGTCCGCGCTACCCGGGCACGTCACTACATGGTGTCAGAAGTGGGATCCTGCGACAACCGTGGAACATGCAGGATAACCCAGCCGCCGCCTCCGCCGTGACCGCCAGCTTCACATTGCGAACTCCACCGCAGTTCACTTTTGACAACCCAGCCCAATGGACGGCGTGGCTTCAACAATTCGAGGATTACTCCTTCGCCCCAGGACTGTCCTCCGCCCCCGAAGAAACCAAGGTACGCATGCTCCTCTACTGTATGGGTCCCCAAGGTCGCGAGGTGCTTTCGTCTCTCATGTCAGACGCCGAGGCCTATCGCTCGTACTCCGGCGTGACAACAAGTCTTTCGGGATATTTTGCACACCCCGTCAACGAGGTATACGAGTCGAACAGGTTCCACAAGCGCACGCAAGCGGTAGGCGAGTCAGTCGACGCGTTTTTCACGGCGCTCCGAAATCTCGTGAAGTAGTGCAACTACGCCTCTCGGGAAATCGACAACCCGCTGGTTCGGGACAGATTTATCGTAGGTTTGCTTGACTCTCGCTTGACCGACCAGCTCTGCCGCAATCCAAAGCTTACACTGGATGAGGCGCTCATCCAAGCGCGTCAGTACGAAGACGCTGAAAATGAGAAATTGCGGCGTCAGGGGACAGGCCTTGCACCAGACGCACTGAACGTCGACGCCGTTGCGAACAACCAGTACCGAATGGCCGACGTCCCAGCATGCGAAGCTGCCGCGAAGTAAAAGTAACGTCTGTCGCTCTCCCGAGTACCGCGCCGGCCCGAAGTCGGCATGCGATTTTTGCGGCCACGCCCCTCATCCGTGATCTGAGTGCCCAGCACGGTGGGCCACATGCAGCCAATGTCGCAAGAAGGGACACTTCGCGGCGGTTTGCCGCTCGAATAATACTGGGTGTTTAAGCCAAATCCAGCTCTGCGCCGTGGATGCCTCGCAAACAGAACGCCGGCACGTTGTTGTTCATGTCAACGGACGCCCCCTTCAATTCAAAGTGGATACTGGGGCGGACGTTTTGTCGTTTCGGTCGTACCTCCGAGCTTCGCCGGGTGCCCAGTAGACCTTGACAAACCCGATAATGAACGGTTGATGGGGCCGGGCCGCTGCCGCCTAAGGTTGCTTGGGACGTTTCCTGCTACCCTGTCGTGGCGAGGCCGGTCGGTATGCAAAACGTTGTACGTTGTAGTAGACATTGACTCTCCTCTGCTGGGGTACTCGGCGGTAGTGGACCTGGGAGTCGTCCAGTTTGTTGACACCGTGGAAGATGCGGAAGCTCCGAATAGGCCCCCAACATCAGACAAGGCCGCAGCTTCGCTGTTCTCAGACCTTTGCGAGATGCCTGAAGGATACCACATTCGTATCAAGCCGGGAGCGATTCCATTTTCTCTCAGCGTTCCTAGGCGCATCCCTATTCCCCTCGAAGGCGTAGTCAAGAAGGACTTAGATGCCATGGAAGGGACGGGGTCATCCGACGAGTCACAGTGCCAACCCCGTGGTGTGCTGGTATTGTGCTGGTACCCAAAGCCGATGGCGAATACAGAATTTGTGTTGACCTCACGAAGTTGAACCAAGTAGTTCTTCGGGAGAGACACCTTATGCCCACAGTGGACCAGGTACTTGGCCGTCTTGGCAATGCCGCGGTCTTCTCGAAACTTGATGCGAAATCAGGGTTTCATCAAGTAAGGCTATCGGAAAGCTGTCAGGAGCTGACTACCTTCATAACACCGTTTGGACGCTACTGCTACCACCGCCTGCCCTTCGGCATCACGTCCGCTCCGAAGTATTTCAGCGCCAAATGTCTCGGATTCTAGAGGGCCTGGAAGGGTGCGTGAACATGGTAGATGACATTCTAGTATTCGGCAGGAGTCGTTCCGAGCACGACAGCAGACTCCAAGCAGTCCTTCGCAAGTTAGAACAAGCGGGCATTACGTTGAATGCCTCGAAATGCTCCTTCGGGGTATCTTCCGTCAAGTTCCTTGGTGTAGTGGTGAGCGCCAGTGGCATCTCGGCTGACCCTGACAAGGTATCTGCTATTGTGAACATGAAGCCGCCGACAGATACGCATGGCGTGCGTCGTTTCTTGGGCATGCTGAACCACATTGCAAGATTTTTACCGAACCTGCCTGCCGTCACTGCACCGATACGGCTCCTGTTGAACAAGAACGCGGTCTGGACCTGGGACCATGCGCAAGCAACCTCTTTCGAGACATTGAAGGGAATGGTGGCATCTAATGCTTGTATGGCCAGCTACAATCGAGAGCTACCCACCCTTGTGTCGGCAGATGCCAGTTCGTTCGGGCTAGGCGCGGTTCTCTTGCAAGAGCAACAGACGGGAGAGCGACGGGCTGTCGCGTTCGCGTCAAGAGCACTGCCTACCGCTGAGCAGCGGTACAGTCAAATTGAGAAAGAAGCGCTTGGTGTCTCTTGGGCTATTGAGAGGTTTGAGGAATTCCTGCGTGGACTCAGCTTTGTCGTTGAAACCGACCATCAGCCACTCGTCAGGTTGCTTGGTTCCGTCGATCTGGACCTCATGCCCCCTCGCATCCAAAGATTTCGCATAAGGCTCATGCAATATCAGTTCACAGTCAAGTATGTTCCATGAAAGTAGCTGGCCACGGCAGACACCCTCTCTTGGGATCCCGAAGGCTCTTCCACGTCCGAAGAGGACAGCACAGAAATTTTTGTGTCTCTGGTCGTGGCAGCTCTTCCTTCAACCCTGGCCGTACGTCTTGAAGACTTCAGGTCTCACCAAACTTCAGACGGCGAGTGCTCAATGCTGAAAGCATACTGCATGAAAGGGTGGCCTCGACGAGACCGTCTGCCGCTCAACATGACGCGTTACTGGGACCACCGGGGAGACTTCACTGTATGCGAGAACATGCTGTTCATGGACGGACGCCTAGTTGTGCCCGCAGCACTACGCAGAGACATCGTGAACCTGCTGCACGATGGTCACCAAGGCGTCAATCGGTGCTTGGCGGTGGCCCGAGGCTCTGTGTGGTGGCCCGGTCTCAACAGCCAGGTTAAATCAGCCGTAGAGAACTGCCCAGCGTGTCCTTCTATACGCATTCAACGCTGTGAGCCCATGATTGCGACCGAGACACCATCAGCTTCGTGGGAAAGGGTGGCCGTTGACTTGTTTCATTTTGCTAATCAAGAGTTCCTGGTGGTTGTCGATTACCGTTCTCGGTACCCTGAGGTCCTCACACTCCGGTCCACTTCTGCGGGAGCCAGTTATTTCTGCGATCAAGAGCACATTTGTCCGACACGGCATCCCGGTGACTGTTGTCAGCGACAATGGGCCACAGTTTTCCTGCAAAGCTTTTGAGGACTTTGGGAAGACATACGGTTTCACGCATGTCACGAGCAGTCCACGCTACCCGCAGTCGAACGGCGAAGCAGAGCGCATGGTTCGCACGATCAAGGAGTTGCTTCTGAAGGCTACAGACCCGTTTCTGGCTCTGCTAGCATACCGTAACACTCCCGGTGTGTATGGCTACAGCCCGGCCCAACTGCTCATGGGACGCTCTCTGCGAAATCGTGTGCCAGCCACGACTCAAAGCCTTGTTCCAGATTGGCCCCAGGTGAAAGAATTCAATGACAGAGATGCCGCCCAGAGACGAAGACAACAGAGAGACTACAATAACCGACACGCAGCGCATGACCTTCGTGCTCTCGACGATGGGGAGGATTGTCTGGGTGCGTGACACGCGGGCAAGGGCGATGGTCCTAAGCCCGGCTCAGAGACCCCGCTCCTACATCGTCCAGACGCCCAGTGGCATACTAGCGAGAAACTGCAGACACCTTGTCCCCTGCAGCAATCCTCAGTCGGCCCCCTCAGATGAGACGGGAATCCCCAACCCTGTGGCCCCGACAACGGCGCCGTCTCCCGGACCACAGGGGGCAGCAACCGGTAACGCATCGAACACTCCAGCTCCTGCACCTGCTGCAGGATCGCCAGGTTCACCGTTACACACGATACGACCGGCGCGTGGTGCCACCTCTGAGACTGAATTTGTGAGACTGCTGCAAGGACTGTTTCTTGGTGGTGCTCTTTTGGAACACTTGTGTTTGAGAGCTCCGGAAGGAGGGTTGTAGAGGACGCCACCTGTTCGCTTCTAGTAACTGGGAGGTGGCGCCCCCACTCTGTATAAAAGGCATCGGTGGGCATTAAACGGGGCTTTTTGCTGTTTGTGAACTACGCGTTGCTCGGGTCATTCTTCGCGGGCTTCACGCCCACTTTTGGCTCGGCTAGCGGCGTCCGCGCTACCCGGGCACGCCACTACAAAAGTATTCAGATACGTAGATGATTTCTTGGTTCTTTTAAATTGTAATTCTTCTATGTTCCACTCGATTGCGACTCAGACGATAGGTGTGTTCGAAGATTGTTTGAGGCCTCTTGTGTGTACGCATGAAATGCCCGAGAATGACAAATTACGATTTTGGGATTTTATACTGTCTTTTAGCTGCACAGCACATCTGTTGGTGTTATGAACCACGTGCGCAGAAACCTCTACTTCCTTTTTTTCCGCTCACAGCAAGTTGGTTGGGCGAGGCATAGTACGAACCTGTCTTGATAATGCCCTAAGTAGGTCGTGCGCCCACAATATCTCTGTGAGCTTCAAAGCTCAAGTTTCCCGGCTTAAGGCTTCGGGTTTCCCCGAGGCGTTTATCGCTTCCGTTGCTGAGACTATCCTGTGGACTAATAAGGACAAAGCAGAGGCAGCGACAGAATCCGAGCAACACAGATACAGAGCGTTAAAGGATAGCTGTGATTCCATACAAACAGGCTCAAAAAAAATCGGAAAACTAGTTGGAGTTCGTGTTCTGTTCTCGGCACATTTCAAATTACTCAGCCTCACCAAATCTACAAACCCCCTGAAAACGCAGTCATCAACGGAATGCAGAGTTCAACATATAAACAGGTATGCGGCATGCTCCCGGGAAGTTGTCTATAGGATTCCCCTTTCATGCGGTGCTTGTTATGTCGGAACGACCGGAAGGTGTCTGAACGATCGGCTGAGAGAACACGCTAACAATGCTAGAAACGGGAATGAGGGTTTTCTTGCTCAGCACGGCACTGAGTGCAATTGTGTGCCCATTTTCAAGGACACAGCGACGCTGTACAAGCACAAAGATGAGGGCACCCGAGTCATTGTCGAGGCCGCGCAGATATACGCCCAGATTTGATGGAGCAATGACAGCGCCACGCTGTTGTCGTTTTGGCCACGAGCGCGTTGGAGAGAGTGACATGATAGAAGCCGGCTGATACGACGGGACGTGCTTGCGCACCGTAGCAGGCGTCTCGTCGCTAGGTGGCGCGTATATGCCGTTGGACTTGTGGCTGGCAGAAGTACATAAAAAAGATAGAAAAGCAGCTGTGAAATTTTGGAACCATCTAAACTCCATAAGAAATGAGACGAGCCTAGAGCAGAGGTTTATAACTACAGCTCAAGGTGCTAGGCAAGAAGGGGACGAATTCGGTAGTGAATATATAAGAACAAGGGTGTCAGAAAAATTTTAACAAAGAAGTGCTTTATGCACCACAATAGACAATGATGAATCAAGTGGCGCAATGGCTCCATTTTAACAACGAGAGTGGGAAAAGGCTGAGAAAAGGGTTCATAGTAGTACATCAACAGGCCCCGATGGCTGATTAAGAATTGGGTCCCAATTATGCTGATAAAGGAATTGGGTCTCAAGTTTAAGCAAACTTTGAGAGAGGCAGTGAGCAAAACAATTATCTATGGTGAAGTCCTTGATGGATGGAAACTTAGCAGGATGAGCATGATCTATAAAGGAAGGGGCACAAAGCTGCGTAAACAACTACAGTCCTGTAACAGTGACATCAATGGTCTACAGGCTGGCGATGCAGATTATAAAGGAAAGACTGCAGGAATCGATAGAGCATGAGGGGGTGCTGGGGGAACTGTAGAATGGGTTTCGGAAACACAGGAGGTTGGAAGACAATCTGTTCTCACTGACGCCTTGCATCGAAATAGCAGAAAAGGAACACAGGCCCCTGTGTCTAGCATTTTTGGATATCAAGGGAACGTACGATAGCGTTGTTCAAGAGAAATCAGTCGGGAATTATGGACACACTAGGTGTGCAAGATGTAGTCACTAATCTTTTGAAGGATATCTATAAAGGTAACAATTAAGGTGGTTATAAAGTGGGAAAAGCAGGTATCCAAGGCTCCAGAGGTAAAACGTGGGCTTAGGCAGAGGTGTCCCCTGTCACCCTTATTATTCATGATGTATCTACAAGAATTAGAGGCCAAATTAGAGCGAAGTAGACCAGGCTTTAACCTCTCTTTCGTCAAACAAGGAAAACTCATTAAACCGGCGCTACCAGCATTGATGTACGCAGATGATATAGTGCTAATGGCCGACAACAAGGAAGATTTGCATAAATTGGTGGACATCTGCGGTAATGAGGGAGATAAGTAAGATTTCAGATTCAGTAAGGAAAAATCAGCAGTCATGATTTTCAATGACAATGAAGATAGTTAGCTTAGAATACAGGAGGTCACGCTAGAGATAACAGATAAATTAAAATATCTGGGCGTATGGATAAGAATTGGGACCGGGTATCTAAAGGAACACGAAATATATGAAACGACTAAAGGTAAAAGGAATGCAGCAGTGATTAAAAATAGGGCACTCTGGAAGTACAATAGGTATGATGTTGAGAGGAATATGGAAAAGCGTCATGTTTCCTGGTCTGACGTTCGGCAATGTGGTCTTGTGCCCGAGATCAGAAGTGCAAGCAAGATTAGTACTTAAGCAACATGGAATAGGTAGGCTTGCTTTAGGAGCACACCGGAATACACCGAATCAGGGAGTACAAGGTGATATGGGATGGACATCATTTGAGGGCAGGGAAGCTAGCAGCAAGATCAAATTTGAGAAGCGATTGAGAGAAATGGGGGAGGTGCATTGGGCTAGGAAGGTATTCAGCTACTTGAACATGAAGAATGCCGATACAAGATGGAGGAAGCGAACCAGAAAATTGACTGGTAAATACTTAGAAAACAGCCGGGGGCCGAACCAAAAAGACTTATAGGTTAAGAAAAAGGTGAAGGAAGCTGAAAGCGATATGTGGAGAATTGGCATAATTAAGAAGTCCGCACTAGAGATCTATTGAACTTTTAAGCAGGAAATTGCCAAGGAAAGGCTCTAGATAATACTCGGGGTAGTTCTCTACTGTTTGAGGCCAAGACGGGAGTATTGCGAACCAAGACATATCGGGCCAAATGCGATGGGGTAGACACGGTATGCAGTGCGTGTGGAGAGGACGAAAAAACTGCCGAACACTTGATAATGTTCTGTAAAGGGAATTCACCCTATAGTTCAGGATGATGGCGCAGAGTTTCTGAAAGCACTGGGGTTTAGGGACAGGGAGGGCAAAATAGACTTTAAGCGGGTAGAAATAACTTGAAGGAGGTTATCTCATTGGTGGCTTAAGTGAAGGCACGAGTGAAAAATAAACGCTTCACTGAAAAGTACGAATGCTCCACCTCACTAATTAAAGAAAAAAAACTAAATCTAGTTTTTTTGGTTCAGTGGGTATTATGGCTTAGCGGCGCTAGCCACTGCGCGATCTAAAGGGTACTTCATATCCTTCCATCCATCCATTAATCCATGCAGCGGCTTCATGTTAATGAGGTCATGGCCAGTCATGGCCTCTCCTTAGTTTTTTCCACGGTGTAATTTTTCCTTCCTCCACCATGAAGGAAGGAAAAAAAGCATGTTCTTAACCTTCTTTTTAACCAAACTGGATGAATTGAAAAAGGGTTCATTGGCGACTGTGGCGACGGTGGTCCTACGATGAAACATGATCGGGCAAGAGCAACGGTCAAGCAGATGCCGGCGAAGATCAGCACGAGCCGAGCGAAGAGAAGCCTAGCACCCAGTACAAGCGGTGGCGATGTTGCTTGACAACGATGCGTTTTCTTCTTCACAATTTGCCCTCGCCGAAAAAGGACGCATCCTGGCGACCTAAGAGTATGGAGGCAGAGGGCTATGATATGGCTTAAGGCGGGCGACGTGGACGATGTCACGTCCACGCCGGTGCATGTCGTCAGATGGGGAAAGTGGCTCATTGAGAAAATTCACCGGCGAGGTTCGCTCCGAAACGCGGTATGGGCCCTCGTACTTTGGAACGAGTTTTGAGGAAATGCCGGGGGTTTGGTAAGGAACAGCCAGCCATACAAGTGATCCCGGGGAATAGCTGGGGCTTTGTGAAGAGTCGGCGTTGTTTTCTTTCTGACGCTGTTGTTCTTGTGACGTAAAGGTGCGTGCGAGTTCACGGCACTCTTCCGCATTTCGGGCAGCTTCGGACACAGCTAGATGGGCATTCGGATGCGTCAGGACGGTATGGAAAAAGAGTGTCGATGGTGTGGGATGGTTCGCGTCCATAAAGAAGAAACAAAGGTGAAAATCCAGTGGTAGACTGTGCCGCGGTGTTATATGCGAACGTCATTAATGGAAGAATGCGATCCCAGTTAGTATGATCGGATGTCACATACATGACGAGCATATCGCCAAGGGTGCGGTTAAATCTTTCCGTGAGCCCGTTAGTCTGCGGATGGTATGCCGTGGTCTTGCGATGAACAACATGGCATTCAGAAAGCAGAGACGTGACGACTTCTGATAAGAAGGCTCGACCTCGGTCGCTTAGTAGTTCTCGAGGTGCACCATGTCGTAGTATGAAGCGATGAAGGATGAAGGATGCTACGTCCCGCGCAGTGGCACTTGGAAGGGCGGTGATCTCAGCGTAGCGTGTTAAATGGTCCACAGCGACTATGATCCACCGATTTTCATCTGATGTTGTCGGTAGAGGGCCATAGAGATCAATTCCGATCCGATCGAAAGGTTTGGCAGGGCACGGAAGCGGTTGAAGCACACCGGACGAGTGGAAAAGCGGTGATTTGCGGCGTTGACAGTCAGGGCAGCCCACAACGAATTTTCGAACGAAATTATACATTCCGTGCCAGTAGAAGCGATGGCGAATGCGTT